GTTGCATTAACTTAATTGTAAGTGACTGCTTCGTTTTAAAATTGTTCGCACGTAGAGTACGTAGAGGATGCTCTTGCATTCGAATCAACTGACCGATCGAGAGACATAAACCCTATATACATGTGATAAGGATATATTGCTACAGAAGTAAGGGAAGTTGACGATTGAAAAGTTGGAAGTTATGCCTTTTTATCATAAAGCTTTATTGTCAGGTTACTATTAACGTTTTTTTTTTCGTGAACAATACTTTTCAAATATGAAACAGATGTGTCAGACACTGTGGTGTCCATCACTTCAAGCTCACTGGGATATATCTTATGAATGGAAGCAACTATTTTTAATTAATAATGCGTCGTCGATATATACATGTATCGAGTTGAAAGCAAAAGCAAGTGTTTTCTTCTTCTCGTGTTCAAGATTTTGAAAAAATTCATATGAATGCAAAAAGGTCTGCTTATAACGGGACACAATTGGTACTCATGGGAATTCTGACAGATTATTGGAAGACCTGGTCTCCAAAAACCACATAGATATTGTCAATCAGAAATTCAAGCACCTTTTTAAATATCAACTTTAGAGGACTTGTGTGTACAATCAGATTGTTTTTATCAAATAGATTCCTTACAAAGATACATAGCGGGTTCGAGTAAATGTTCAACCACGCCTCTTTCTTCACTCCTCACTAAGATATTAACAGTAATGAAGGAGAAACTTCAAGAGTACTGTGCAACAATATATTCAAGAAGTGGTGAAAATCAGACGTGGATACTTAAAAATTCCAAGGAACTTTTGGACATTTTGAAATCACAAGATTTTACCATTTAATAAACTGCTTAAAAACTTGACTTTTCAACTTTATACACAACCATTCCCCACGATAAATTAAAGTCCAGGCTTTTTGATATCATTGATAGCTCTTTTTTTCAATAAAAATGGAACTTGTACTTACCTGGTCGTTGGTCATTTGCAAAATTATTTTGTTAAAACACATTCTGACTGCACACACAGTTATTCTGAAGTTGACCTGAAAAAGATGCTTGAGTTTGAGCCACAACATCAACGTAAAGAGATTACATTTAGAAGGCTCAAGAATATCAACATACATGATATGAGTAGAGATATCAAAAATCAACTACAAGATGAATCCGCACGAAATGAGAACACGTCTGTTGACCATTTAGTACAAAGGTACAACGAATGCCTCTCGCATATTCTAGACACACATGCGCCTCTTGTTAGCAAGTCAATTCTTATAAGAGCTAACACAGAGTGGTACACAGACGAGCTCAGGACAGCGAAACAACAGAAGCGGAGAACGGAGAGACTTTGGCGTAGATCTAAACTGGAAATACACCACCAGCTTTTTAAAACGGAAAGTAAGCAAACAGGCCAATTACTACACAAGGCAAAAGAAGAATTCTATTCTGCTAAAATTCAGGAATGTAGATATGATCTGAAAAACTTCTTTAGGGTGACGAATTTATTGATGGGTAAGAATCAGGAGAGTCCCCTACCAACATCATCATCAGATGAAGATCTTACAAATAAATTTTCAACGTTTTTTATAGACAAAGTAACATCCATCAGAGAGACACTTAAACAAAAAACAGAAAAAGAAGACAGCTACTAGTATTTAGACACAGACATACACTATAATGGGCCTCTATTAGCTGCTTTTGAACGTACCACTGAAGATGAAGTACGATCACTAATAATGAAGGCACCCAGTAAATCATGCGAACTGGATCCAATTCCAACAAAGCTACTGAAAAAGTGCCTGGATCCGGTAATACCGCTTTTCACAGAAATGGTTAATGCATCTCTCGATCAGGGAATTTTTCCGTCTGCTTGGAAGGAGGCCATAGTTCGTCCATTTCTTAAGAAACCTGGACTAGATAAGGAAGTGTTGAAAAACTATCGGCCCGTATCAAACTTGAGTTTTACCTCAAAAATATTGGAGAAAGTTGTGGCTCGTAGGATGGATGCCCACTTGGATGCGAATTCTCTTCGCGATCCACTTCATTCGGCATATCGTCCCAGGCACTCCACGGAAACGGCCCTCATCAAGGTCCACAACGATATTGTGACAGCCCTGGACCAACAATCTTCAGCAGTCCTTGTCCTTCTGGATTTATCCGCTGCTTTTGATGTTATTGACCATAAGATACTGTTCCAACGCCTAACTGTGTCTTATGGTTTCCGTGATGGAGCTCTTGAGTGGATCAAGTCTTACCTCAAGAGCAGAAAACAATGTGTCACAATTGGATCCGTCCGATCAGAGTTTAGACAGCTGCCTTTCGGTGTCCCCCAAGGATCTGTACTCGGACCGAAATTGTATTGCCTCTTCTCCAAACCCATTGGAATCATATGCCATCGACATGGAATGATATATCACTGCTATGCAGATGATACACAAATCTACATGATCATAAGACCACTGGAAAATTGGGACAATTATTTCTCTCGACTTAAAGCGTGTCTTAGTGAAATTGGTTCATGGATGACATCAAACCTACTCAAACTAAACCAAGAAAAGACCGAGCTAATAATCTTCACCACAAAGCAACACCAGAAGTACCTGCCAACATTACAACTAAAATTTGGTGATAATATCATTGAAAACGTGCCATGTGTAAAAAATCTAGGTGCATTTTTCGATCAACACCTTACTATGGAAAAACAGGTATCCTCGGTCGTCAAGTCATCCTATTTCCAATTAAACAATTACGGAAGTATATGGCGCTTTCTTACAAAAGAAGCCTGCAAGACCACGGCGAACGCCGTTATCACTGCCAGATTGGATTACGGAAACTGCCTTCTATATGGGAGTTTCAAAGGCCATAATAAACGGATTCAAAAAGTCCAGAACACGGCAGCTGGTTTACTTACAAGATCATCGAAACGGAAGCATATTACACCTATCCTAGCTGATCTTCATTGGCTACCCGTTTCTTTTCGTCCACAATATAAAATCTTGACATATGTCTACCAATCCTTACACGGGTTAGCTCCATCTTATATCAAAGATCTTATAATGGAATACAAGCCTACCAGATCACTGCGATCTGAGTCAACATCACGGTTAGTTGTTCCTAAGATCAGGACGAAGACATATGGCGAACGTCGACTTGGTTGGGCAGCAGCATTTTTGTGGAACGACCTTCCTAATGACATAAAGCAGGCCCAGTCCCTGGATATTTTCAAAAGACAATTAAAGACACATTTTTATAGAATAGCTTTTTAATTATCAGGTGCTCAATTTTTAGCAGCAAATCATAAATCACAAATGATGTTCCTTTATTGAGTTTTATTAATGGCGTAATTGTATTTTGTGTGTAATTTTTAGTATTTTTTAATGTTATATCCGGTAATTTCGAACACATATATGAGTATGGGTTAATATTTTATATAAGTTTTCATAGCTTTTAAATTATGTTTACTTGCGTTTTATTGTACAGCGCTTTAGAGTTAACATTAATATTTAGCGCTTTATAAATTCATACATTATTATCAATTCATATATTATTTCTGATTGACAATATCTATGATGTTTTTGGAGACCAGGTATTCCAACAATCTGTTGGAATTTCCATGCGTACCAATTGCGCCCCGTTATTAGCTATTTTTGTATTCATATGAAGCAGAATTTGTGCAAAATCTTATGCGTGGAAAGAAGAAAACACTTGCTGTGGCCTTCAACTCGACATTTCGGTATATCGACGACGTATTTTCAATTAACAAAGATAATTTCCATTCTTATGTAGATACGATATACTAGTATCCCGGTGAGCTTGAGATAAAAGATACCACAGAGTCTGACATGTCTGTTTCATATTTGGATATTTTACCTGAAATAGACGTTTTTTAAAATGGTAATCTAACAACCAAGCTCTATGATAAACGTGATGACTCTATAACTTTTCTATCGTCAACTTCCCTTACTTATGCAGCAATATACCTTCATCACCTTCATATGGAGTTTATATATTTCAGTTGATTCGATACGCAAGAGCATTCTCTACGTATGATAAATTTCTAAAACGAGATAAATTATTGACAAACAAGTTGATGGAACAAGAATATTAACAGTCTCGTTTAAAATCATCATTTCTTTATTTCTATGGTCGGTACGATGACCTTGTTAGCGATTTAAATACAATTTATCATTGAGTGAGATGCTAACTGACGTTTTTCATACTATAATTGTTAGTCCATTATTTATACACTGAATTGACGACGGATTTTTCCGTTATTTCCCGATCACGACAAGGAGCACACTACGGGTGTGACCGGTCGGCAGGGGATGCTCATTATTCCATGGCACCAGATCCCGCCTCTGATGTTCCGTGTTAACTCTGCTCCTATTTTGTATTGTGTTATGGACCTTTGATCTTTTCGTTATATCCATGTGTTTCATTAATTTAAATTTGCAAATGACCAATGACAAGGTAGGTAAAATTAGCCCCAGCAGCTGTCGATGATGTTAAAAAGCCTAGACTTTAATTTAACGTAGAATGTTTGACAGGAGAGTTGAAAAGTCGTAAGTTTTGATGTTTATTGATTTTGGTAAACCTTTTTGGTAATTTTTTCCCAAAAGTTTCTTGGAATTTTTAGGTAGTCACATCTGATTTTCTTTTCTCGAATTTACAGATTTGTGAAATTGATGAGCTCAAATAGCGATGGAATTAATCGTCAATCAAAATATTCGTATGATTAAAATTATATTTCAGAGCAAAAATATTTCAAGAAATTATCTGTCAGAAATTTTGAATGGTTTAAAATTTGTTAAAATACTTTCCATGGCAAAAAATTTCAATATAAAGTTTATACTTAAGTATTAAGATAAAAGGAACGTGAAAGTGTTTTCTTTGATCCATTAATAAATGCCTTGCATCACAGTTATAACCGCTTAGCTGTTGTAATAATCCCCCTATTGATGTTTTTGCGAGTTTATTTGATTTTATACGGTCCGGTTTGTTTATTTAAAAGGATACGTACGCCGACAAGTATCCGTTAGGCTGTACAGTAAATACCTCGCCAGTCATCGTAAAGCACTTGTATTCCATTGTCGAGCTGATTGGCTCTACCAAAGCGAGAAGCTTTCTTCTTTCAAATTAAACGCGGACCGAATCCCGGAGCGTCAAAGCGACAAGAGCCTCCGAATTGTTAACGTTAGTAATGTTTTATTATATAAAAAATATCAAGAATTCAATCTTTCCTGCATTGGATAATAAAAAGCATTAATTGAATTTCGTTTCAATTTTTTCACGTTAAGTGTGCGTAAACACTTCATAAATTCTTTTCCATTTGATAAGCCGTGCTACATGTATTTCTAGGAGCTATAAATTTTGAATACCTGCAATTGTTCGTGAAGGTTAAGTAATTTTTGTGCTTCCTTTGGATCAGAACATCACGAATTCCTGAGGGGACGCAGGGACATTTAATTATTTGTGAAATTATTAGAAATGGAAGACTTTCGATTCTCTCATATTATGGTGCTAAGTGCAATACTTCTCCAATTCCTTACTGTTGAGAACACAGTTGCTTTTAAGGACTTACTGGCTGATCCCGACCCCTACTCCAGCGTGGAGACGAATGAAGAGGTAAGTCATCATTTTTTTGTTAATTAAAAATTAAGTCTTTAAAACCAATGCAATTAGAATGAACTTAAAAAGTTAAAATTCGTAATTCGAACACGGAGGAAAGATAGCGAAGGGCTAGAATACTTTGGACTGAAATAAAATCTTTAAAGATTAAAACATATCCGCGTATCGTGATGGTAAGAAAAAGTTATCCGTGCAATTCGAACACAGGTTGTACCAGTGGGGCCGGACAAATTCGGCACACCCCTCCTTACTTCATCAGACAAAAAGAAATTTAAGATGAGTGCATAATAATGAGATTGTGTCATAATAGGAAACATCGCCAAGGAAAGTACCAATTTACATCATCAAATTGAATACCCGGTGTTTTACAAAAGGGGTATGTAAATTTCATCCTCTTTTAAAGGCGTGTTATAGGCTATTAATGGGAAAACAGACGATTTGTCTGCCATTTTCGTCTTCGTTTCTTGCATTTAAGAAATCTGATTGTTAAGAAATGCTTTGCACTTCGACATGAGAAATGTAAAGTTTCGCCGACCTGGCGACTTTTTGAGCATAAAACATTTGTTGTTTAATTCCAAATTGAAAAAAAAGCAAATATTGAATGAGTGATTGAATTCAGTTTTGTGAGACCTGAATGAAAGGGTCGGGGTGACTTTTTAAAATTTAACACATCTACCAAGTTTACGGGGGAAAAGCGTCAAAGCTACTATGGTAATAACTCGCTTATCTCTGTAGCATCTCCGATTTTTAACTTTTAGATAACATCAAAAATGTACAACCCATTAACCACAGTAATATATATGACCAAATTCAATTATTATTTTTTTTTATATTAACATTCAATTTAATTTTAGCAAGTCATAGAAATTAATTTTTAGCAGTGTATGTAATGTAGTTCCGCCAATTAAGTAAATGGCATTTTTAGACTGCTGGGAAAGAGAGTTACCTATGTTCGATTGGTGAGAAGTGATGCGCTTCCGGTATCTTGAACATATCATCACAGTTCGTATACAGGAATTTGATCATATAGTCTTACACCAACATAGGAAACTGAGGCTATATAACTAGTTTACCATTCCTATCTATGGCACGCCAAATTCACAAAAATGAGATAAACATAGTTTCACAGTCGATAAACTAGGTTTATCGGTTGTAAACTATAGTTTACGGACTGTAAACTATAGTTAACAACGTTAATCTATATTTTACATCTGTAAACCATAGTTAACGCGATAATCTATGTTTCACAATCGTAAACTATACTCAACACTGAAAACAATCATTTGCGATTGCAAAACATAGATTATCTGATAAATACAGTTTCACGATTTGTAAACTATAGCTTACAAACCGTTAACTATAGTTAACGATCTGATAAATATAGATTCACGATTTGTGAAACTATGATTAACACCTAGCTCTTAACTATAGTTTACGATTGTAAACTATAGTTTACAAACGTGAATCTATGTTTATCAACAAAATCTATTGTTAACTCTTATTACAGACAGATAAACTTAGATTATTATTCGTAAACTATAGTTAACAACCGTTAAATATAGTTTTACAGATGAAAACTATACTTAACGAATCGTTAACTATACTTAACGAATTGTTAACTATAGTTTACGGTTTGTAAACTATAGTTTACAGTCGATAAACCTAGTTTATCAAATGTGAAACTAGGTTTATCTCATTTTTGTGATTTTGGCGTGCCATACCTATCACTCGGAACTTTTAGATTAAAATCTGTAAAATTAAGAAAAATGACTGGAAATTTTGACTTTATTAATGTTTCTTGATAAACTACATGTATATTTGTTTAAAATCATATTAAAGAATTATATATTCCATTTTCATTATATTTCATTATCTATAATATATACAGATTATTCTACTTGTTATATTTTATTGATAAAGAAAATATAGGTTCATTGTATTTTATAAAATTGAGACTGTGGTGTTTTTAGAGAAATCAGAGACCACTATCATGAAAAAGGTCATCGACTTATTTATTTGAAAGTGAAATATAACAGGATTACTGTAGTTTAACAATGCACAATATAGGTGGCATTTCTTTTCTATTTTTGAAGTCTTTGGCATCGGAGTAAACGTTATCCTTAACACACGTTTAATGTTTGAATTTTCTGCCGAATCATGTTAGACTGTAAATACATGCACGGAAGTCATATTATCTTTTTCTTGACATATTCCTAGATTTGTCAGAACATGTAGCCGTGATAGATTGGGAGCTCATCACGGTTCAATGAGCTCAGGCTCTTGTACGAGATACCGATTGATAATAAACAGACACATCGATCTTGTAAGATTTCCTCTCAATGCACAAAAATAACAACCGTGAGAAGAGTGTCGCCTCCCTCTTCATTTAAATCGTTCAGTTACGTTTAATTAAATCTCTCTGAAATCCCTTAATTCTCAGATACATGTAGGATGAAGCAGAGAAAAAATGATGCAAAAACAATGAAATGTGCTAATTAAATTGCCCGAAAAGATATATTTAAAAGATTTGATTAAAACCTAAAATATTCGTATAATCTTATCGTCACAAAATGAAAGGAATACAATTATCCCAAGAGAAGCAATAGGGACTTCCAATCAATTCATTGTCCATAAATGCCAACATTCAAGAATCTTTCGTTTAGTCATTGCAAAAAATGTATATAGATATCCATTGAAGGAAGCTCATATTATCTTGTAATGTAGGGATAACGAACACTGATTGTCATAAATCTACCGGTAATAAACAAAACGAATCGGGAAGACGGCAAAATAGGGACCCCAGTAAACACCAGAGGTGGGATCAGGTGCCATGGAGTTGTGAGTATCCCCTGCCGACCGGTCACACCCGCCGTGTGCTCCTTGTCATGATCTTATAAATTGATCAGGTACTAATGTACAAAGAGAGCGAAGCGGACCGAAAACCCTTCGTTTGCGAAGACGTCATCTGTTGGTATTCCACTTTTTACATATTTTACCAAGGTTTTAAATATTTTTTTGATATACAATTTATGTGTACTTTTTTTTTGTTCTTTCGGCAATCCTCAAGTATCAATATTTTGGAATATACATGTTTTTAATGAATATTTTATCAATCTTCGGGTAGCATCGTAAAGATTTTACTTTAGACAACTTAGTATGAAGTTGATATAGTGGATAATCATTGATTAAATTTATATGAATGCCCAGGCTGGGGAATTTTTAGATATTACTTTTTCTTGAGAGAAGACGGAGAGGAGGATCTCGAAATCTTTCTGGTCAAGAATGAAGAGTTACATTTTAATAGTCATGGATAAATTTTTCGTAATTAAAAAAAATCTCTTTAATCAGAGTGCTATTTTGTTCATGGCCTGAGCTTTCTACCTAGTTCTGTACTTGTTTGCTGTAGAGTATAACAATGAACCAGTCCAATTTTTAAACTGGAGATAGTTGGCAGGTTTTCACTTGAGTATTTTCAAACAGGAAATCCATTCAGTTTCGTGTTGTATTCAGCGATATTTTACACCTACTTTTGTGTATCTTTGATCAAGCCGTAAACGATCAACAGATTTTATTTGCAACTGTTTCTTCTTTTAGAGTTGGCGACATTGTAAACAAAATGTAAAGAAATAAAAGACCAATCATTTTCTCATTGTTTGGAGCTAAAGCGAATGGCGAAAGTTTTATTTGACAGTTTAAATATATACATATGAATGTAATTAAGCTAATGCGCTATCAATAACCTGTAAATACAAGTCATATTGAGTTCGGGAGCAGATTGATACGATAATACAATATCCATGTAGGTCGTATAACTTGAATACAAGTATTCAAATTGAACAAAGTCTGTGAACGTTTAATACACTGTTTGGGTCGTCTGCTTGTCTCAAAAGAACAATACCCGGGTCCCGCCTCGGATTGAATGTCCCCCATATCATTTGATCACCGCTAGACAGACTATGAAAATACCTAGTCATGGCACCTTTGCAACGTGACGCCCTAAATCTCCACCCTAACCCGTACTCCGGTGTAAAAAAAATCACTCTTGTTGATAGAAAGATTTTTAATCGTAATGGACCATCGCCTCTCTTGATCAAATGACGTGAGGGATATATGATATATTCCACATATATTGTTTTAAATTTCAGTCAGTTCGGTATTTTATAAACCTAGCTGCTGGAGAAAGCTGTTAAAGTACTTTATGTAACTTTCCAATAAACATGTTTTTCACTTCAAGGATTATCCATGGGTCACATATTAACTAATGCCACTCACAAAGGGTGTACATATACCCTTTTTGAGATAAAATCTAAATTTATCGAAATTTAACCCTGGTACATGTATCTTTTTCATGACCTGGAATCAAGTACAGCTCAAAAGCACTTCATACTAGCCAAAGATATATATGGCACGCCAAATTCACAAAAATGGGATAATCATAGTTTCACAATTGATAAACTAGGTTTATCGACTGTAAACTATAGTTTACAAACCGTAAACTATAGTTAACGATTCGTTAAGTATAGTTTTCATCTGTAAAACTATATTTAACGGTTGTTAACTATAGTTTACGAATGTTAATTTAAGTTTATCTGTCTGTAATAAAGCGTTAACAATAGATTTTGTTGATAAACATAGATTCACGGTTGTAAACTATAGTTTACAATCGTAAACTATAGTTAAGAGTTGTTAATCATAGTTTCACAAATTGTGAAACTATATTTATCAGATCGTTAACTATAGTGAAGAGTTGAAAACCATAGTTTACAAATCGTGAAACTGTATTTATCAGATAATCTATGTTTTGCAATCGCAAATGATTGTTTTCGGTGTTAACTATAGTTTACGGTTGTGAAACATAGATTATCGCGTTAACTATGGTTTACAGATGTGAAATATAGATTAACGTTGTTAACTATAGTTTACGGTTTGTAAACTGTAGTTTACAACCGATAAACCTAGTTTATCGATTATGAAACTAAGATTATCTCATTTTTGTGAATTTGGCGTGCCATAGATATAAATTGTATTTTGTCTTTTGTGGATTCGTCCATCTTGTGCACGATCCCAGATGAATATAGCTTAATATAATATTTTTTTAATTGTCCACTTTTAGATGAAGAAAAACGATTGGATCCAAATTTTCATGGGCAAAAATCCTATATTAATTTTGTTTAAACATTATTTTGATGAATATAAATAGTTAGATAATTCTTACTGTTAAACCTTTGCCTCAGTTTGAAACCTTTTACTTTTTTGATTGATGGTATCTATTATGAAAAAAACTTATGGTTAAGTATGAAAATTCATGTATTATCGGAAAAAAGATAATAATAATAAAAGATTCAATCAAAAGGCTTTTAAAATGCAAAGACTCTGATAAAAAATTATGAGAATAGGCCTTAATGCTATTATTGAAAAGTGGCAAAGTCCTTGTGTAATTATGTAGTTCAAGCTCCATAATCCATTGAAACAACCTTAAACACATCAGAGGTGAGATCAGGTGCCATAGAGGAATAAACATCCCATTTCGTACCCTTTGTCATGATCTGGCATATAGAAAAATCTGTACACAATTCAGTGTTTAAATACCGTAAACCTAAAAGTTCAGTCAGCATTCCACTTTACAGTAGATCTTAAATTTGTAACTTTGGTCAAGACTAGTGATTTTATGGTCAGGGATAGAATCCTTTTATATCTATATATGTTTGAATTGTGTACTTGATTATTAAATAAATGCTAATGTTGATTACAATTCAAGGCACTATAAATATGTGGCAGAAATCTTGCATCGCAAAGAACCTCTCATTTTCTCTTACCGGAAGCACTTCTATCGACAATAAAAAAGATATGGAAGATTTTCTATCTATATTTCGGTAATTGTATACAAGTAGAAAACTGAAGAAGTCAATAGGATTAATGATTAAGTTCTTCATATTTATCTATTCAGTGTTAAGCGAATAAAGCGTGTCAGCGTTTAATTTTGATAACGGAAAGGGAACGTGAGTAAATTTCGCAGACTTTTGTATATCCGTGTTAATGACCGTATATCCTGTGGAATATGATCTGACAGCAGAAAAATTAATGTCTACAAAATCTACATCACTGGATTATACAATTTTGTATGACATGGTAATTATACATCCCTCTTTCGAGATTTGCAACCACACCTCAGATTCAAAACGATTCCGAGGCTATTTATAGTCTTTCTGCAATTGTTTCAATTGTATTTAATTTATGACATTGGAAATATTCGGCTTATTTATACATTAATTCCTGCTTGAAGATACATGAACCACAAGGTTAAATTTATTAAATTAAATATTTTTGTCAAATAAAAAGGAACGAACTGCAGACTTGGCAATGTTTTATCTATAGGTAATTGTAAAGGAAAAACACCTACAGTCTTGATTCTGTCAAAATCATTAATACCAGAGTGTACTAGTATATTTCTCTCCCTTTATCGTACCTAAGTTACTGGAGGAGATTCTAGAATTGACATAAATATAGTTTATTCATCAAAGTGAACATTGTCAGAGTGTCTCAGATCTATATTTAAAGCTCACATTAAGCGATTGAGAGGCAAAATGAAAACTACAGCTATCCTTCTGTGTTCAGTAATTCAAAAAAAAAAATTAGGTAGATTACACAATCAGTATGCACTAGTCCCTGCTGACAAAGCAGTTAACAACATTTTCTTAGTTTGTAAGACTTATTATTCAAATTTTAATTTAGAGGAACTGGGATCTGATTCTACAAACGACAATTCAAATTATACTCATAGTTCCCTTTCTAAGGAGAAAATTCTTCAAAATCATGTCAGTTTTGAATATTTTTAATATTCCCAGCAGCCAAATTGAATTTGTATTACCATATCTATACTGAATTCCGAAACTTCATAAAAACCCTTACAAACAAGGAAACATAGCGGTTCCAGTAAATGTTCTACCAAGCTTCTTTTTTACTTCTCACTATTTAAAATACATGTATTAACAGTAGTGAAGGAGATACTTCAGAAGCAACAATATATTTGAGAAGTGGTTTAAATCAGATATGGATACCGGGTACTTAAAAATTCCAAGAAACTTTTGGAAAATTTGAAATCACAAAATTTTACCAAATTCAACAACAAATAAACTTGTAACTTTTTAACTTTATATACAATTAAGGATATGGAGAAAACGAACGGTATTCAAGATTAGAAGTCCATAAAACAATGCAAAGTAGGAGCAGATCAAACACGGACCTCCGAAACATCAGAGGTGGGATCAAATGCCATGGAGGAGTGAGCATCCCACATGATAAACTGAAATCCAGACTTTTTTTAATATCATAAACAGCTGTTTTTTTCAATAAAATGGAACTCGTTTATTTGCATACCTTGACATTGATCATTTGCAGAATCATTTTGTTAAAAATCATTCTGATTGTACACACAAGTACTCTGAAGTTGAAGATGCTCGAGTTTCTGATTGAGAATATCTATGTGGTTTTGGAGATCAGGTCTTCCAACAATCTATTGGCATTCCTATGGGTACCAATTGCACCTAATTATTATAGCAGCCCTAATTTTGTATTCATGAAGCAGAATGTGTTCAAATCTTATACGTGAAAAGAAGAAAACACTTGCTGTTGCCTTCAGCTCGACATTTAGATACAAGTATATCGACGACGTATTGTCAATCAACAATGGTTATTTCCATTCTTATATTGATACGATATATCTCGATGAGCGTGAAATAAAAGATACCACAGAGTCTGACAAATCTGTTTCACATTTGGATATTTTACTTAATCTTAACGTTAATTGTGGTGAAACAACCAGGCTTGGTGATAAAAGGTATGACTCCAACTTTTCAATCGTCAACTTCCCTTACTTGTGTAGCAATATACATTCATCACCTGCATACGGGGTATATATTTCTCAGTTGATTCGATACAAAGAGCATGCTTTACCCATGAACAATTTCTAAAATGAGTTGATTTATTGACAAACAAGTGATGAAACAATAATATCAAAAGTCTATTTTAAGTTATCATTTTGTAAGTTCTATGGTCTATACAACGACCTTTAAGTCAAATACTGACTGACGTTTTTCAAACTAATTGTTAGACCATGATTTCCCCCGAATTGTCAACGGATTATTCCATTATTTTCCGATCATGACAAGGAGAACACAGCAGGTGTGACCGGTTGGGAGGGCATGCTCACTCCTCCATGGCACCTGGTTCGATCTCTGATGTTTAAGACGTCCGTGTTTGCTCTGCTTCTAAATTTCTACTGTTTTATGGACTGTTGGGCTTGAATACTATTCGTTATCTACACTTATATGTCATGAAAGAATGAAGCATAAACTCTGTTTAAAAATAGTTACTAGTATTGCAAGCCCAAAAAAATTATGTTAAGAAAAACAAACAATTTGAAGCTTTCATAAGCAAGAAATTCTATCATGGAAATGTTTGATTATAAAATTATCATATTTTGCTAATAAGTGAAAAAATATCAATTGTTATTGGGGTCATCTCAGCTGAGATGATTACCATTGGTTTATTATGTTAGTATTTCATATAAAACAAAATACATTAACACTTTGAAACAAAAACATTAATGCATTTTTTTTAAAGAAAGGTTTTAAATAGAAAGTTTTTAGCCCCAAGTTATTAACCTAATGGATGGAAGAAAACACTCTGAAACCTTATTGCATATTCACTGGACACAATGTTTATTAGTTGACTTGGTTACTGTTAGAAAGGTCAAAGACATTCTTGAAACGGTTGCCTCCTAAGAATAAGAGAGCTCGGATCAGTTTGCAGGAAAGTCGTTTTCGACTCAAAATTTGCCTCTAGGATGAAAAGAAAGTTTTCAAATTTTAATGCTTATCCATAGGGCACCACCTAACATACTCCTAAAGGTGCATTGTCGACTCCTAAGAATATAAGAAATTTGAGAAAGAATAGAAAGTGACAGTCGCGCCGATCAGGAAACAATACTAAACCCGAACGCTCTATAGAAAGTGGGAGAAAAAACCAAAGACGTTTTAAAATTCTGCTCCCTATTGATCTCCCATATTAAAATTATGTAACTTTTTTGCACATCTACAAAACTTCACCAATCATATTCCAAAAGATAATTTAGCTACTGCGTAAAATAAAAAAAGAGTTCTAGTCAAGTTTTCGTTTACAAAAAAGTTTTTTGGCGACTCCCAATCGGCCCCTAGTGTGAAAATGAAAATTCTGAAAACAAATTGGCTTATGACCAGGGACCACATCGGGGCACCACCAGTCGTATCTTAAATGTATCATATTGCAAAGTGTATAAAATATTTGGTTAACCGTAACTTAGGATCAATAAACAAAAAGAGAATATCTGATATCGAAGCATCTTAATCTTTGAAAGAGTGTGTCAAGTACTGTATAATAATATAGTGAATATTAGATCTACATGTTGAATTCTATATACAAAACCTGCCATCAAAATTCAGGCTGTTCCCTCTATGAATTGGTATCTGCTTACTCCAAAACCTTCTTTACATTGTATTGTTGGAGTCTTATCTTATAGTTTGTTAAACATGTGTATTGACAATACGAGAGTCGAGTGAGCTATAATACAACTATTATAATTTCACAAACCAGATCATCTTCATTTTGATGAATAGACTGTGTCATGTATAACTTCAGTGCAATATTTTTATCCGTTTGAAGCGCCCAGAATATTTAATTAAACCAGTTTTTCCCTCTTTTTAAAAGTTAAAAAAGACACCCTCTGTATAAAATTAAACCAATTTTTAAATCAGCCGATTTCATAATTACTAGTAAGTAATCAATAAAGTACCCGTATACAAAGTATACCGGCTATTTGATTCGATTTGTGGTTAATCTGTGACGTCATTTCAGGAACCCCGGAGTGGACGCAGGCGGCCTGTCGACAGTAAAGATAGCTGGTTACAGTTCATACGTAGAGGGTCACGACCCGCAAAGCAGCCAACCAAGAAACGGAAAAATAAACGCCTGCAAAGACTGGTAGGAATTTTCGTCCTGCATTTGACTTCTTCTTTCTTAATCATTGAATATATTGTATTTCAAAAGAAAAAAAAGCAACAGCTCCAAGAGTGTTCATTCCCAAACGAGGTTTAGATGAAATATACTCTATATTAGAAAAAAAGATATGTTATATTATCTTTTTTGGTCTGCATCCTATTTGAAAGCAAGTGATTGTATACTGTTGTACATTGTATTTTATATGAAGCTATTACAAACACAGAAAACTTGAATTGATTTAACCAATACAGATTTATCAGTTATCTGGATCATGTGTTTCAGGGATGCCCCACGGGACCTGCCGGGCCACAGGGTCCACCCGGACCCCCGGGACCAAAAGGGGCAAAGGTCACAATACAGGAACTGATGACGGAATTTCTGGATATCGTTAAAGGTTTGATTGGCCGATATATAAATGTAGTGCTTTTGTAGGAAAGATATAATGTTAAATTTGAATATCTCTCTTTTGAAAATCAAAATTTTAAATTCTCCTTGTCTTTAAGTCATTGTTTAGTGAATAATCTTTAAAGATTTGTTTCAGAGGCTGCAGAAAGAAAAGCAGAGGTCATTATTTCAGAGAAAGTAAGATCACATATCCTGCAGAAACTTTTCCTATCTTTAGATTTAAGCATTAAAACCTGATATCAACATCGATGTTATAATTATTGTGCTCTTTAATTAAACAATTTAAATTAAGACAAACTGTTTACTTTGTGTTTGTTAGTGTGGGACGTGCTCTTCGACCATAAACAATAGCAGTGCAGAAGATACTTTGTTTACAAATGACGTCATGGCTTTGCCTAGAATTACATCTGGATTTCATCTTCGTCTTAAAAAGAATGTCATCCTAGATAGCAAAACCTTCATGGAACTTGATTCTTTTCATCAAGTAAGCGAATCTCTGTCATCGAATAGGTACAACAAATCTTTTCCTTCCATGATTTCCTGTTGTTTATAACGTTTAATGTTATTGTTTTGTTTTTCAGCCTTTTGCCGCCGGATCTTTTCAGAGGGGAAATGCTTTTAACATCAGAAATGGTCGTTTTACGGCCCCCAAAGCAGGGATATACCAGTTTTCCGTAAATTTACATATGCGCGTGAAGCGGAATGGCCGGAGATCCAAACTTAAGAGGAAAGACGCCATAAAGACTCAAATTTGCATCAATTCATTATGTAATAAATATGTGTAAGTATTCAAAACATTCATCAATCTGTGTAATATCAAATCGAAACGAATTCTATTTGTTGTCAAATTGAATTCAATCCATGGCATTGTTTGCTGAACAAAACGCCATAATAAACCCTTCTTACAGTAATGGAACGAAGAAACGAAATTTCTAAACAAATATAGTTTTATATAACTTCTTAAGATATAATTCGTGTCGTTAAAAATCGATACTTCTTGATTTGGTGGTTTAGATTAGAAATTTAGCAGATTTTTCTTTTCTTTCTTTTTTTAAATTTGATTTTATTTATTTGGCGACATTGAAAACAAAATTAAGAAAACATACAACAGATCTAAAAGAAATGATACACCAATCGATTTGTTATTTTTATTTTGGTCAAAATGTGAAGATAACGAACATTTTTCAACTTCAGAAGTCCATTAATAAAATATAGATCAGGATCAGAGGAAACAAGGAGCTCCAAAAACCTCTGACGTAGTATCAGAGGCCGTGGTGGAGTAAGCATCCCCACAGACCCGTCACACCCGCCAAGTGCTCCTTGTCAAGATGGGTTTACGGAAAATTCAGAGTGGGAATGTAAATAAAATCGCATCAAAAACGTCAGTCGGCATTCGACTCAATAATTATTTGGAATTATTGACAAAGTCAATGCGTCGATGATAGACTTGTCGAATTCTTAAACGAGACCGTTGATATTCTTGTTTTATCAACTTGTTTGTCAATAGCTTGACTCGTTTGCGAAATTATTCGAGCATGTTCTTAAATTGTGTATTACATCAACTGGAAAACATAAACTGAGTATGCAGGACATAAGGATATATTGCTACATAAAAAGGGAAAGTTGACGATAAAAATAATTCAAAGATCAATATCCTAAATTTGTAGGCAATTGTAAATTGTTGAAGTTCTTTTGTTTTTGGTCACTCCCATAATATATCTATACAAGTTTTTTTTCACTTTAAAGTACACTACTGAAAAATCCTACCACAAAATAAAACATTTTTTCTGGTTTAAAAAAAATTGTTTTAACCTTAAAAATTAACAGCTATTTTAAAAAAGAATTTTTTTTGTAGTAAGTAGTTTTTAAAGCGAACATTATTTAGCATCTGTAAAACAATGTATTGACTGCAATTGCAAATGCTAAGAAAGAATCAAAAATTATTTTGAAATGTTTAAGTTTGATAATTCAAGGTATTTTTTTAAACACCTTTGTACTAATTAATATAAAGTAGACACTGTCATAAAACGTCATAAAACGTTAAGACTGCACTGAATCATTTATAAAATTGTCCTCCTTTATATAATATATAGTATCTTATGTTGATATTTCATACAATACAAGTTTGAAACAGAGATTTAGATGAAGCATATCTATTTAAAGAAGTTAAGAAAGTTTACATGTTAAAAAATACCCTTGGTCTGCAATTACGCCTTTGATTGAAAAAAACCCTTTAGTATCTTAATCTACCTGACACAATCAATTGTTTTCTGAAACTTCACAAAATAAGATACTGACGGGTTCCAGTAAATGCTCTACCAAGTCTCTTTTTACTCCTCACTAAGGTATTAACAGTAGTGAAGGAGAAACTTCAAGAGTACTGTGCAACATTATATTCAAGAAGAGGTGTAAATCAGATGTGGATACTTAAAAATTCCGAGGAACTTTTGGGCAATTTGAAATCACAAGATTTCACCAAAATCAACAGCTTAAAAGCTTACGACGTTTCAACTTTATATACAACTAAACCCTACTCTAAATTAAAGTCCAGGCTATTTGACATCATTGACAGCTGCTTTTTTAATAAAAATGGGATTCGTAAATTTACTTACCTTGTTATAGTTGGTCCTTGCTTAATTATTTTGTTAAAAAGCATCGTGATTGAATGTACAAACAAGTACTTTGAAGTTGATCTTAAAAGATTCTTGAGTTTTTGATTGATGATATCTATGTGTTTATTGGAGACCAGGTCTTCCACCGATCAGTTGGAATTACCATGGGTACTAATTGCGCCCCGTTATTAACATACATACTTTTGTAATCATAAGAAGCAGAATTCGTTCTTATATATGAAAAGTAGAAAACATTTGCCGTGACCTTAACCTCGACATTTATTTACATCGACGACGTATTTTCAATTTACAATGGTTATATCTATTCTTATGTTAATACGATATAATACGGTTAACTTGAAATAAAAGATACCACAGAGTCTGATACATCTATTTCATATTTGGATATTTTGCTAGAGAACTATGTAAATGGTAATCTAACAACAAAGCTTTATATTAAAATCAAAAATATTTGTATGTGTAGTCTTGAACAACAGCAGATATGTCGTACATTCTGTTTGCCATCTTGGACAAAGATGGCAGCTGGTAAATGTGATGACTTTTTGTTTGTTTCTCCGTTTGTTAGGCCAGTATAGGCTAAATAAATCTACATTGAATTTTGTCACTCAGAATGATCGTTATTTGATATATACACACACGCTGAATCGACTTTATCACACTTCAGTATTTACGCGATACCCGAAATAACTGGATTTGAGATGACGCTTATAATTTAGCTTTTAGCGTGCAATAACCTGATATGAACACTTTTCCACCACTTCTGTGTAGGAGTGAGACTTATACTTCACAGTCTGGCACATCATCATGTTTTAATCAAAATATGATATTCGTCAAATTTAAGAGCATAAACAGAATCATGACTTACATATTAATTTTCATGACAAAAGCTGTAGGAAATCGGCACTCTGTCATTTAAGTTATATGAGTACAAGTGAATATTAACACGGGTACAACTAAACACACACCTTACCCTCAAAAACAGTGAGAGAGAAGGGGTTGGGAACTCGGATACAAAAGGAAGACAAACAAGAGAGTAATTGTTCCTTTCATTTAGTTTGTACAGCCACTGACCTGATGATCAAGACTTTAAAATTAAAAAGGAAAGTAAATATTATCCCCCTACTCCTTTTGTGTACCGTGTATACACTCTCGGCTGGTAACAAAACCTATAATTATCGATGGTAAACAGTTTGCCCCCGACTAGTTTTCCAATCATTTAACAAAATAATTACAATTCATGTGAAAGGAAGTGCAGCCAGTGCTAAAAAATTATAAGCATGCTGGCCAATGGGAACTTGGTCAGGAACTCACAATGTCATGAAGAAAACAGACATAATATTTTCAATAAATATGGCATATATAAAACTGTTTGCAAGGGAAACATTTTGAATGCACTATAAATATTTTTTCACTTACTGACAAGAGTAACTATTTTAAGAACTGAATAATTGATACGTTTGTTTACAAAGGAAATATTTTTAGACAAAATCAGAGAGAGAGAAAGAGAGAGAGAGAGAATTTCATAACAATTCTTGTGTCAAGCAATGGCTTGGAGAACGTTTAAATAACCTTTTCGTCCTTATGCATCCGAACGAAGTATACATATACATGTAGATCGAAAAACATTAGAAAATAATTACGAATTTAATATACTATATCAAAAATCTGAATAAGATACGCTGACTTTCATATAAATCATTTCAGCTTTTCATGGGCTGTAAACAAAACAATTGATGAAGTACTCTTAATCCTTATTACTTTCGTTTACTTATGTACATACATAAATTTAATACAAGCAATTTGTCCCTTTTCTATCCGTCTATTTAAAATTATGTGTACACCGAGGTTCTGATTGAATTTCAATATTTCTAAATAGTAATTATTGTTTTCCACAAATAACTGCTTTATGTATCTATTACAGGTCCCTTAGTCATGTGATTGGAATGGAGAGTAATAGTAAAATTTTCACGGTCAGCTTTTCAGGATTTGTGCAATTAGAGGTAATTAATTACAACTGAAATACATATAAAATTAGAAATCAGAAAAGAATATAGTTACTGTTATTGAGGTTCATGTACACAATATTGAAATATTTAAAAGTATACAGATATTCTTCAATAGTTTATATATTAATTAGCTTTGGAAGAATATCTTTCATATATATAAAACTCTCTTTTCAGCAATCACAGTATGTCTCCGTGTACGTTGATAATGCGTCAAAAATGAGTGCTGTAGTGTTGAAGAACTCGGATTTTACTGGGATAATGATGGGAACATGAGAAAGTCTTACTCAAATTTTACAACGTGTTGATCTTCAAAGGTGTGCGTGCGTTCGTCATTGTGGACGCTACCCTTCACGTCATTAGCATCCCCAGCTCTAAGTAGCGTCCTGTGACACCTACTCAACTACAAAAACTATTAAAATTTGAGATTTACTTGTTTTTTTTCTTATCGTATAATTTATTGTTTTTGTTTTAATGTATGTACTTGCTCATGATGATATTTTTATTGTAATTATAATTTGTTACTAGTTTTGTTTCCTAAAAAATAAAGTTGTTTATAAATAAAGCATCGTGTGAGTCTTCAAATTTTGGATCTACATACAATTTGATACAAATATATCGAACAATATACTGGGTAATAAATGTAGTCAACTTACTCCAAAAATGTCTTTTATAATAGGAAATAAATAGAAAAAAAATGACAAATAGAGAAAATAAAATGCTTTCAACTAATGAAAGTATTCACTTTCAAAAAATTACTTTAAAAAATTGAAAAATAGAGCTGATTTATATTCAAATTTGAAGAATTTAACAAAACTTTAGTAGGAATTTTTCAATGCCTTGTTTTATGTTCATTTTGGGAAAAAAATTAGCCATGCAATCGTAGCTTTTCATTTTTCTTTAATTAAAAATATAGAAGGAATACATTTCTATCGGCATTCCGTTTGAATGTGACACAACATGTTTAAGAAAAAAAATTTCTTTGGTTAAAAAGTGAACGATTGATTTTCTATATAAAGAGCTGTTAGTTCATGTTTACAATTAAATTCTGCATGTCAATGAGAGCTTTCTTTGATTTGTTTTATTATTTGGGTGAGGACATTTGTCAAAATTACTAGAATAGATCAATAGCTATGAAATGAGCCGTTTAAATATCTGGAGACCAGATGTGAATTTCCTCGGAAGTTGAATAAAAGGCTGAAATAGTTTTGCACAGGAAAATAGGTTAGGAAGGGAGTGTTAAAAAGGAACTACGGCTTAAATGAATGATTGCCTGGGATACATAAAAAAGGATTTCTCTATAAAAAATAGTTCATGTTCAGTAGTTCATTGGAAATCTTTTCCTTCCAGTAAATAAATTCAAAATAAGAGGCATTCTGTTAGGATGGATCATTGTTGCGTACTATAAGCCTATACTGGAATCAATTAATTTCCTAAAAATAAGTCTCAATGTATCAAAAAGTCTCTGTTCATTTCCGTATTTATTCCATACATTGTATCACTGCCCTAATTTTTCGTAGGAAATGGGGTAAAATATATAATATTAAGTTGATTAATGTATAACTTTGCGCAGACTTTCTTTAGATGGCAAATTTTTTTTAAAGAATGATTTCTTAGTTATATTTTCCTTTTTATCTTGATATCCGTTTATTTGGTGATAATAAACACTGAGTCATCTATAAAATATTGAAATTCGCATCTCCTGGGTTTCGATTGCAGGCTTCGGGGTTGAGAAAACACAAGAATCACTAAAAGGGACTTAATATTTTAGGTTTTCCCTTTTTATTTTAAAAGACTTATCAGACATAAAGATTCCCTCGACTATCTGATGAATTATTTTCATATAACAAGAAAATTTCCCATTGTGCAAAGGGAAAATACCAGTTTTACAAGTTGAAAAAACTTTTGATTTCTTAATTTGATGACGATATCTAATGTAATGAATTGGATAACGGTGTGCATATTTTAAAAGTATACTTAAAAATGAGCTAAGTATGACAATATATATATATATATATATATATATATATATATATATATATATATATATATATATATATATATATATATATATATATATATATATATATTGTAAAATGAAAATTACGTATTGCACATCTACAAGACAACACCAATTACCATCCAAAGATGATTTCGCTACTGCGATGTATAATGTATTTCTCGGAGCCAGATATCTCCAAAAACGTTCCATCCCAATTAGGCTTAAAGAAGTGAAAAGGAAATTAAAAAAACAAACGAAACCTAATTTTTCAACTCCTATTTGGTCCAAATAATGAAGGTGAACACTCTTATTGCATATTTACTAGACATCTTATCATATTCCAAAAGATACTTGTAAATTGCTTACTTCGTTAGAGGAATTGCAGCAAGAAATGTGAAAGACAGACCCCCAAAACAAAAATATCCAAAAAGTGATGTTGTAATCATTTAATGCAAACCATTTCAATTGTATATTAATTAAATATTTTTAAAATAGATTGTTTTATTTGTACAGAAAAATATAATGGCTGCAATATTGCAACAAAAATACATCACCAGGTTACGAGAAATATGCATCGTGGCTTACGCTTACTGTATCGCTACAAAGAAAGACAACTTTTTATTATACATAATTTATTTTAAAACATAAAGTGGGTGAAAGTATCCAGAATATCATATTATCAATTTATGTTACAGATCGAATGGTCAGTTAACAGTTGAATTTTTACTTTTCTTTTATATCCGAAGTTAAAATGCTTTAAAACATGAGAGAAAAGTATAGCAAAACTGAAAATAATGTATGTAAATATAGAAAGCGCTTAGTAAATACAATCTATGTAATTCGTAAACGTTTTGACATTAACTTTCGAATTAAATGAATATATTATATATGTAATCTCTTCCATTAGATACGTTTGGGAATGTAACCATACCCTACTATAAGTTCAGGCCCTTCTGACATCATAGACAGATATTTTAGACAAATATGGAAATAGTAAACTTAAAACCTTTTAATTGGTCATTTATAAACTTATTTTGTTAAAATGTTATGATTGCACATACAAGTACCCAAAGTTGATATTTAAAAAAAAAATACCGTTTCTGATTTTACAACATCAATAAAGTTTTCGTCTTCCAAAAATATCCCAAAATCGGAATAACATGGACACTGTAAGGAATTACGTGCCATTATAAGCAGACCTTTTTGTATTTATATAAACCTTCTACATCAAAAGAAGAAGTCTATTGCAATGACAGTCAATTCAACATTCAGATATATCGACGACGTTTTATCAATGACATACGAGAAATCGTACATCGAGATAAAGAGGAGTATTCAAGCTCAATGTTGACTTTTAAGGTGTTCTATCTCTAATAGCAAACAGATTCAATGAAATTGAATAAATAACAGTTTGATATAACCTATCATTGGATCGAATTTTGACTGACATGTTTCATACCAATTGAAAAACTTTGTTTTTTGAATTGAATTCGTTATTTTTCATTCGTTATGTTCCGTGATCAATACAAAGGCTTCCTGGTGTATGATCGGTCAACAGGGGATTCTTACTCCCCCTAGGCACCTGATCACGCCCAATGAACATTTTAACGAGGCCCAATCTAGTTGGATATTACGAAAACGGAATGATAAAAAATTTCGATTCTTGGAAATAAATTTGTATGTATTATGCTAAGAAAAATTAGAATGAAATTTTGTTACATTGCCTTTATTGTAGTCAAATGGGGGCACTTTCAAGATATGGACAATTTTTCGTGTTTTTATACACAATTACGTACTAAAACTCCACAATAAACAAAGTAATTGACAAATTTAAAAAAAATAAATGATGAAATGTTTTGATTTTCACATATATCATGCAATTCACATTCCTCTTTTAAAAAAATGAAAAGAAAATCTAGCCTTTATTGTTGAAAAGGGGGCATATCAAAACACAAAAATAGGACTTATTTTATCCAACTATAGCTAGTATTTTATAAGTTGCAATAGGTCAGCTTTACATAACATCAACAAACGATTGTAATACTGTATAAGTTTCTAAAAATTAAATCATTCTTACATTATGGCATAATTTTCTCTTTATGCTCAATAAAAATGGTGAGTATAAACACTTCAATGTTCGAGGAGAAAGACTAAAATCGTTTACTTTTGGTTGCAGTTAGATTTTTTTCTAACTCACAAATTGAAATAAAACAAGATAAAATTAATGAATCTGTTCCAAGAAATTGATACCTCAAAATAAATTATGTTTCAAAGTTGTTATTAATTTAAAAGTAATAAAAAGCCAGAATTTTCAACAAGCAGTCTATAGAGCAAGAGCAAGATCCGCGAAATACTTTAGCGCAATTTGACGTCATTTTAATTGTGACGTTATTGTATTGAATTGTGACGGCAGTCCAGGGTACTGTGACGTGCCTGACGACCTGCGTTAAAACGTATGAAGATCATTTTTAAAAACGAGGCAAACTATTGACCAGGTACCTGTAATGAAATAAGGATATCAATAGTCTAGTTAAAAGTCAACTTTTTGATAATTCTATGGTCGTTAAAAAAATACAATCCATCTTCAATCGAATGTTAACTGACGTTTTTTCATACATATTTCTAGGCCATTATTTTCAAACAACCAAAAAGATTAAAAGTCAGATTTTGGCCTTTGTTTTGCAATGTATATTCTCAGATAAGCCTAAACATCTGCTATATTTTTGCTGGGTAAATGATCAAATTAATCCATAAATGTGATTTATCATTGAGGAAGAAAATTGCACAATAACGTTTATAAAGTTTACTAAAATGACCAAAGTCTGTAGTAATTAATAGAAGTAAAGATTTAGATTATATACTAATTTTTTCAAAAGGTTGTCTCTCTTGGTTTGTCTGAAACTCATTGAATAAAGATTACACATTGGATGATGGAATATATCGAGATAACGAACATTATTCAAGCTCAAAAGTCCTTTTAACAATGCAACATTGGAGCAGAGCAAACAAGGACCTCCAAATCATCAGAGATGGGAACAGATAACATGGAGGAGTGAGCATCCCTTGCCGATCGGTCACATCCGCAGTGTGCTCCTTGTCATGACAATGTGTCTATAATGGCCTAACAATTAGTATGAAGAACGTCAGTCAGCATTTGACTTAATGATAAAATGTATTTGCTGACAAAGTCATTGTATCGACCATAGAACTTGGAAAATGACGACTTTAGAGGAGACTGTTTATATTCTTGTTTCAGCAACTTGTTTGTCAACAATTTACATGTATCTCGTTTTAGAAATTGTTCATACGTAGAGCATGCTCTCGCCTATCGAATCAACTGAGAGATATATAAACCCCGTATGCAGATGATAAAGGTATATTGCTGCATAAGTAAGGGAAGTTGACGATTGAAAAGTTAAAGTTATCATGTTTATCATTAATCTTACCATTATCGTCTTTTTCAAATAAAATATCCAAATATGACACAAAAGTTTCAGACTCTATAGTATCTTTTATTTCAAACTCACCGGGATATATCCCACTTGTGATGTTTTGGAGGTC